AGTCCCTCCACTCTCTGAGGGTTTCTCTCAGCAAACGTCCAGCTTGTTGTGGAGGGAGCGGACATTGGAGAGCAGGAGGACGGTCCTGCTGGTCTGGAGGGGTTAGCCTGTAGCCTAGCATGGATCCTGCTGGTCTGGAGGGGTTAGCCTTTAGCCTAGCATGGATCCTGCTGGTCTGGAGGGGTTAGCCTGTAGCCTAGCATGGATCCTGCTGGTCTGGAGGGGTTAGCCTTTAGCCTAGCATGGATCCGGCTCTCTTCCTTCTCCTTTGTTTACATTCGCACCGTCCTTCTCTCTTGGGTAACTGCCAGCATCGTCTCCGATCGGACTCCATGTTGGTGTAGCATGTCCACATCACAACTGAGCGCCGCAATTCCAGCAGCGTTCACTGTCCTGATGTTCAACAAAGTCTCTTGGCTGTAAGTTTTGCGGAATGAACATCTGGGACAGACAATTTGGGGAAAAGCCAAAACAATTCCATATAATGGAAGTGGACTTTTTTTAGCAACCAACTCCACTGTTTGGCATTCAGCCATGGCTCTCCATGCAGCTACCACTACACACACAAACAAGGAGGCAGGTAAGAGATTGCATCACTGCCCATAATTCGCTGTGATCGGTTGGTCAGGTTGACGACGTAATACGTCTGGTGCGTCAGTGCATCAGCATAGAACTGCAATTTATACAATGTGACCTAAACGATCCATACGATCTCCTCACTTTTTAATCTAATATCGTCATATCATGCACCCCTAGTTGTCATCCATAGTACGACAGGAACCACTCAACTCAGAAAAGAGAAACAACAGTCCATCGTTACTTTGTTACAGCCCAGCTCTTAGACTGCAACAATAAATAGGAGAACAGACGAGGTTGATTGCCAAAAAACATATTTTTATTAAAAAAGTAATCTTTAGAGATAAACGCACGTCAGGGTCAGTAATGGATTCGGTTTTTTACATGACAGGCCACAGCAGGTGTTTTTACATGGTTTTAAATCTAGCAAGTTGATTTTAAGCACAGGCATCCCTCAAGGTTGTGTTTTATCCCCCATTCTCTTCTCTGTGGACACCCACAGCATCTCCTGTAACAGTGAAGGAACGACTCTTTAAATGTACAGACGACATGGCTCTGGTGGCTCACCTGACGGACAGCACTGCGCTGACTTGTTACCAGAAGGCAGTCAACAACCTCGCCCGAGTTTTTGATAAAAACCCTCTGGAACTCAACATCTCTAAAACGAAGCAGTTGTGCTGTGGGGGCAGAGGCAAATCTCTGACACCCCTTTTACACCCCTCAGTATCCAGGGTCAGTCTGTCGAGCAGGTTGAAGTTTTTAAATATCGGGGAACAGAGATCGACACCAGCCTGTTGTTTGTGTATCATATGGATTCAGTTTACAAAAAAGCACAACAGCACCTTCACCTGCTGAGGAAACTGAGGACTTTGAATGTCAGCAGAGGCATTTTAACCCTGGTTTACACCTCACTCATCCAATCCATCCTCACACTCAACACTTCATCCTGGTACAGCTCCCTCTCCACTGAACACAAAACAAAACTCTCCCATATTGTTAATCAGGCCAGCAAAGTCATTGGTTCACCACAAACTCATGTCTCTGAACTGTATAACTGCTCTGTGATCAGGAAAGCCACCCTGATCGCAGAGGACTCCCCTCAGCCCTTCATCCGTCCTTCCACCTACTTCCATCAAGCAGATGTTACAAAGTCCCACTGGCCCGCAAGAACATCAATAAAAAATCCTTCATTCATACCCTCCCCAGCAAGCAGACTGAGAGAAAATCAAGGGGAAGGAGAGGGTATTTAACCACACGGGCCCAGCTGCAGCCATTCACCTCGATGACGACCTTGCCTCGATTAAAACCTGAAAAAAGAAAAGAAAGGAAAACAAAAAAAACACACACCAAGTGACATGGAGGGGTCATCAAAAGTTTAAGACTTTGAGGTTAGTCCATCTGGAAAATTTCAAGAACTTTGAATGTATCCTCAAGTGCAGTCACAAAAAACCATCCAATGCTCTGATGAGGACCGCCCAGGAAGGAATTACTGCAGAGAAGCCACTACTGAGGACGAACAAGAAGAAGAAGAGAATCGTTTGGGCCAAGAAACACAAGGAATGGACATTAGACCAGATCTGTACTGTGGTCTGATGAGTCCAAATCTGAGATCCTTGGTTCCAGTCACCATGTCTTTGTGAGACCAGAGAAGGTTAGTGACGGTTTCTGCATGTGTGGTTTCCACCATGTGAAGTATGGAGGGGGAGCTGTGATGGTGTGGGGGGGCTTTGCTGGTGATTTAGTCACAATCCAAGGCTCATTAACCAACATGGCTACCACAACATTCTGCAGCACCAGGCCATCCCATCTGGTTTACTGGGACCATCACTAGTTACCAACCAGACAAGGAGCCAAACACACCTCCAGACTCTGTGAGGGCTGTTTGACCAAGAAGGAGAGTGATGGAGTGCTGCGTCAGATGACCTGGCCTCCACAATCACCTAACCTGAGATGTTTGGGATGAGTCGGACTGCAGAGTGAAGGAAAAGCAGCCAACAAGTGCTCAGCACCTCTGGGAAGTCCTTCAAGACTGTTGGAAAACCATCCAGGAGACGACCTCATGAAGCTGACTGAGAGAATCAAAGAGTGTCATTAAAGTAAAAGAGGGTTGAAATATAAAACATCTTCTGGTTTGTTTAACACTTTCTTGTTTACTACATAGTTCCACATGTGTTCTTTACTAGTTTTGATGTCTTCAGTATTAATCTACATGAAAGAAAATAATTAAAATACAGGGCTGCCCGTTTATGATCACACCCTCAGTCTAGGATAGAATTATGACTATATCCAGGATATTCCAGTAAACAGGCTTCAGGATTAGCATATCGAAATGTCTGCAACAACAGAGCACTTCAAAGACTTTAAACGGACAAAAGTTATTCCTCGAATCAATTTTGGGGAATTATGTTATGACAAAAAACAGAATTATGACATTATTCTGACAATAAACAGGCTGTTTTACTATAGGTTATATAGGAAATGATTCGGGACTTATTTTATGATTGTAAACGGGATATTCTATAAAGTGGTATGACACTAAGTGAGCAGCACTGTAAATAAAAACTACTGAATGAGAAGGTGTCCAAAGTTTTGACTCATCTTCTCATCACAGAAATTCAAAACTTACAAACAAATCTCACATTTTAATTTCATGAAACTATGATTTGACAGTTTTATTCTTTGGACTGACTTCCACTGATTCTCTGTTCACTTTGTGATGGTTTATTTGTCTTCATCCAGTGTCTGAGCTGAGGGTTGTTCTGTTGGGGAACAGCTGGTCTGGGAGGAGTTCTGTTGGGAACTTCATACTGGGAGAAACTGTGTTTAACACAAATGAAGAACCAAACAACTGTCTGAGGGTCAGAGGACAACTGAAGGACAAAGAAATAGTTCTGATCAACACTCCAGATCTGCTGAATCCAAACATCTCGGACAAGAAACTAAGAGAACATGTAGAACTCTGTGTCAGACTCTCTGATCCTGGACCTCATGTGTTCCTGCTGGTTCTACAGCCTGAAGACTTCACTGAGGAACACAGACTGAGGCTCTGCAGAGTCCTGGAACTATTCAGTCATCAATCATTTGATCATTCACTGGTTCTGATGTCAAAACCCAGAGTGAAGAGTCAAGTTTTATATAATTCTTACATACGGCGGGCACCCTTATGGGAGATGATTAGAAGCTGTAGAAACAGGTCACTGAAGCAGCAGGACCTTGAACTTCCAGAGTTACTGAGAAGTTTGAAGCAAATTGTAGAGAAGTACAATGGAAACCATGTGATGTGTCATCATCCAACCATAAAACCTTGGAAGTCTCTTGCAAACTTGGGTTCTGCTCCATCTGCTGGTAAGTGAAGGAAATATTTTAATAATGATGTGAAAACTTAATGACAAATGTCTGATTCATTTTATTATGTTGTTGCTCTTGATGCTGTTTGTGTCTGTTGTGTCATGAAAAGCTCCATTTGTTCCTCAGATGTTTGTCTAAAAAGGACTCACAGCTAGAAGACAGGGTAGAACTTTATGATGAGGTCTGGTTGGTTTAGGGAACCAAACCCTGAAACTACATTTCACCTTGATAGCTAATGTTAGCAAATGTCAGCAGCTGCAGCTCAGTAACATCTTCAACTGAACATCTGTAGTCTGTGTTGTGTAGCTGCTCTGAGTGGATGCTGAACAACAAGAGCTCATGTTGTACTGAGATGATCAGCTGCAGGACTTGATGCAG